TGCAATTGTAAGACATAATGTGTATATCAAACACTGGATAGAAATAAAAATGATGGATATCAATTGATGGCCTCTAATGATTGTTTTGCATCAAATAAATGCAGGGAAAAGTAAATGACATATGAAGTCTCATATGGAAGAAAAAAATCTTATTTTTCAACAATCACTTCATAGAATATAACCTTTGTGAAATCGATTTTGTTATTTCTTTCCAAGGCAAGGCTGACAGTATTATAAAGGAATTCATGCAGATACAAGATTTAACTTCTCAAATTAATGAATAGCTTAATCATATACCTTCATTTTTTATCTTAGAATGTTCTAGTCTAAAAACTGTTTGAATTTTCATTGCTCTTATGAAGAAGTCTAAACACCCAAACTTGAGCTACGCTAGCATTATATCTGAACTTAGTTTACCTGTCTAGTCTTATTTCTGCTGACTCTTGCCCTCGCATTCCAAATCTCAGGCATCCTTGAACTACTCACAGTTCTTTAAATATAATTTGCTCCTTCTTGCCTCTGTTGTTTTTTAGGTCAAAAATATTCTTCTATCACCCAGCAAACACATATTGATATGATACTTCATAACTTGCTTTAAATATCATTTTCTTGGAAGGGTTTTCCTGCCTATGTGCTAATCTAGCAGGCTACACACTATCTATTTAGCTCCTATTCAATTATCTGTTTACTTGAATATATTCTCTAAAAGTTCATAAACTCCTCTAAGGTGAATAGCTGAATTTTTATTTCATCATATTTATATAATGTATACTATGTTTATATTTCAAGTCTTGAGCACATAGGACTTACGTATGGCATACAGATACTAAAAAATATTACTCTGTTGAATAAAGTTCTACGTCTAGAATTTATCAAAAAAACATTAATTCCTTTTTCAAACCAAAAAAAGAGAGAGAGAGAGAGGGCGATATTCTGAAAAAATTATTTGGCATCAACAAATATTAGCTTAATATAAAACAAAAATAAATGAAGACTTACAAAGAAATAGGTGTAAATATATTCATGTACACAAGCTGAGTGAAAAACAGTATTAATCTCTTTTCTTAATAATTTCTTTTAAAACTATAACAAAAGCACTAAAGTAACATGGTGTTTGATGGCAAATATTTTACCTTGTTTTAGATCAGCATTTCTTGGAACTTCCAACAGATAGCAGTTTGGTAAAGGATATGATGAAAACATTGGCCAAGGATATGGATCATCACCCTAAAAAAGAAGCAAGACAGATGACTTTAGGAAGTAGTTAAAAATATTATTGAATTTTAAGGCTTTCTGAAATGTCATTCATTGAAATTGGCTTTTGTTTCATAAAAATTCTAGAGATGTAGCCTAACCAAAAACTATTTGATATTACGATCTTGCTTTAATGGAGAACTATAATGAAATAGAAACAACATTAAATAAGCGAATTTATGGCAACTTGTTCTAGTAACTAGGACTGATAATAATAGCTTTAGTATTTTTTCATGAAAGGAAAACTATGATCTTCAAAAGAAACTTGTATTTCCTACGTTGCTTACAAAATTGTTTCTCTTATGCTGTCAATCATTTCTATCTCATCCATCCCAGAGTGACAGCAAGATGTACATAATAACAATAAAAAATTAAACCCTTTGAGAGAAAACCAAACTATTAATGTTGATGGAAGGTGAGGTACATAATATTGTCAATTAAATACAAAAGAATAATCTAATAAAATTTAGGTGTTATGAAAGAGAAAGACATCAAAAGTAAAAAATTCAAAGACACAAGTTTGACAACTTTTTAATAAAAGAATACCCTACTCTACAACATAAACTTGTACTCATGACTCCCTGCTTTGAAGAATATTATTTTTGTTTAAGTATTTACTTGCATCCTAAAGTTTTTCTAGTAATAAAAGTTCAATTCTGTCACGTAGACATTTAGAAGTTGTTGTTTAGTGTCATCTGAGTTTGGCTACGTTTCTTCAAAATGTATCAGAAAAATATTTTCTCCTTTTCTTTACCCCACTTACCTTTTCTAGTATCCTAGGAGGTAAAATTCGTTCCACTGGCCCACCGATAAGATTCATTCTAACAAGAAGATGATTTCTCTCCACCGATAAGCCATCAATTATAAAATTCCTGGACAATAAATATATCAATTTTGTTATCTCTTTAATTGGATAGAATTTAAAAATCGAATCAGTGAAATGTAAAGAGAAAAAGCAGAAAATTTTCTACAGAAAAGTTTGGAAAATAGATTATCAATATATTACTTAAAAAGAACTAAATTCATTCTTTATCTTAATTTTGCTAGAGAGCAAAGACTTGATAGAGATATAATTTTTATAATAAGAAGAACGGGATTAATAAAATAATATTTCCTTGACAAATGTGACTGCATTTAAAGAAATGAGGTTAAGACAGGCATTATTTTCACAATGACTTTATCACATTTTTAGTCAATGTTCCCTTAAGTTCTAGACTCAGTGCCTTAAATTCAAAACCTACATGTTGCTTTTAAGCAGCTCCACACTTCCTGTAGCTGTTAATATCATCCTTCTATATCAAATCTAAAGTACTGAGCAATGTGCCTTGTCTTCTGTAATTTTCCAAGACCCATATATAATGGAAACATACTTTTTTCAAAATTACAGACACAAAAACAATGCCACCATTGAATTTACATTCAGTAAATGTCAGCCAAATGAGGTAATGGCAAGTGTGTTATATTAATAGAAAAAAAACTATCAAGATATGACCATAACCTCATTTTGCAATAATCAGAATTTATGATTATAATTAATATAATTAAGAAAATGAAGTAAAGAGATCCTCTATAAGAGACACTAAATCAAACATTTCATTTAATGGATCATCTTACATATGCAGACTGAATTTAAAGGTGATACACGTTCATGCAACAATTTAAAAATTCAGGGCTTAACTAAAAAAAAAAAAAAAAATCAAAACAAAAAACTAAACAAAAACTTAGAAAGTAGTACTCTGCAAGTGCTCCCCAATCTTTCTGTGATATTTTCTTCTGTCACTATCTTTCTGTGACATTTATGCTTTAATTGCTTGTTACTCTGTTATTTAAATCTATTGAATTCAGATAGTGAAAAAAAACATTAAACAAACTATATAGAAAATTACTGTCTTAACAGAGCATTGGTAAAAAAAAAAAAAAAAAATTGCTGTTATTATCATGTCTTAACAGTCTTTTTTACCTGTGGCTCTCAGAGGTCTCTATGATATTTTCTTCTTGAGCATTTAGTAATATTTCAGATACTTGATACTGAGCCTCTAATAGAAGAAGAATGTCTAGATCACAGCATATAACACTTAATAACCTACATAAAGAGAAAAAATAAAAAGTAGATTTTATAAGTTTAGAGGCTTTCTTGGTGTCTCAAATACCTACATATAGAAATACAAATTTGAAGAAACCATCAACAAGGCAAAGAAACAACCATTTGAATGGGAGAATATATTTGCAAACAATGCCTCCAATAAGGGTCTTATGTGCAAAATATATAAAAAAACTCATACAATGCAAATCAAAACCACAATGAGATACCCCCTCATACCTGTTAGAATGGCTATCATAGACAGGACAAGTAATAACAAATGCTGGAGAGGATGTGGAGAAAAAGGAACCCTTATACACTGCTCATGGGAATGTAAAATGGCACATTGGCACTATGGAAAACATTATAGAGGTTCTTCAAAAAACTAAGAATAGAATTATCATATAACCTAGTAATCTCTCTTCTGTGTATTTACCCAAAAAACCTGAAAACATTTATCCGCAGAGATATATGTACCCCTATGTGCAGCATTATTCACAGTGGCCAGGACATGGAAGCAACTGAAGTGTCCTATGATAGAAGACAGAATAAAGAAAATGTGGTACATATATACAATGGAATATTACTCAACCATAGGAAATATGAAATACTGCCATTTGCAACAACATGGATGGATCTCGAGATAATCATGCTAAGCGAAATAAGTCAGATGGAAAAAGTTGAGAATCATATGTGTGGGATGTAAAACTGAAAGCAACAAACAAACATGACAAACAAACAGACTCATGGACATGGACGATGGATTAGTAGTTACCAAGGGGAAGGGGGGAGTGGAGAGGAAGGTAGGGACACAAGGGGTCAAATATCTGGTGATGAAAAGAAATTTAACTTTTTGTGGCGAACACACAATGCAATATATATGAGGTATTGCTGAACTGTATACTTGAAACTTATTTGATTTTATTAACCAATGTCATCTCAATAATTTTAATAAAAAAATAAAAAAAGATCACACAGCTATTTCAGATACATTTTTAATCAATTCGAATAGTAATTGACTTCAAAAGTTTTTATTAAAATATTATTTTAAAACCATAAGTAACTTTTAATCCAGTTCTTTAAAATTATCTAACTCTAGAAATACATTTTTTTCCTCAACAGCTACTTAATTTAAAAATTAGTTAAAGAACATTAGCAAATCCATAAAAATGGCAATTGCCACCACTTTTAATTCAGTAATAATTACAGAAGGAATGACAGAATCGTTTTGCTACCAATCCAGGAAATGCTCATTAGGTGAAATGTCAACAGCTAATTTTATAACATTCAGATAAAGCTGAGAACACCTAATACACTGATCCATCTTAACATTACTAAAAGAGAGACAAGTAAAAATCTTATGGCTCCTATTGTGATGCAAGAAGATGTAAATTGCATCACCTATGAAATATTCTTGCCAAGAAAACAGAACCGGAAACTAACCAATCCTAGATGTCTCACTATCAATTTACATAAAATACGAGAATCAGAGAAATATTTTAAAATCTACTGCAAAGAAGAAACAGTCAGCCAAAACCAGAATTTAGAAAATCATACACAATTATGTATTATTTCTCCAAGAAAAAAAATGGAATAATAAAGGGAATAAAGGAAGTTGTAAATCTAAAAAAAAATATCAAGCAAATATGAAGGTTCTGTTTTGATCGTGATTCAAACAATGGAAAAGTGCATTTGGACTCAAACAAGAAAATACATTATAGGTACTATATGAGATCAGGAAAATAGTGTTAATTTTGTTGGATATAACAATGACATGGAGGTAATGATTTTTTTGTTTGTTTTTTGTTTTTGTTTTTTTAATGAGTCTTTATCTGTTAGACTTACTACTATATTGTTCATAGGTAAAACAGCGTGGTATCTGGAATTTGCTTTAAAATACTTAAGGAAAAACTATGTATGGAAGGGAGAGAGATGTGAAACAAGATTGGAAAAAAATGTTAACTGATAAAGATGAGTGATGGGTACATAGAACGTTCATTATACTGCTGCTCATTGTTTTTATATGTTTAACAACTCTATAATAAAAAGTATATCAAAAAAGATAATGTGAAGGGAAAAGGGAACATTGGGTGGCTATGGTAGACTAAGAAGTTAGGGATGGCTTCTCTGAAACGTGGCATTTGAGGACATAGAGGATTCAAGAAGAAACCAACTTTCTAATTATACAGCTAGTGATTTTTCTTAGAGAAATATTCAAACATGAGCACAGGGTCCTACATACAAGGATACTTATTGTAGTGTGTTCATAATAGCAAAAAAAAAATGTCCATCTATAACAATAAGTTTAAATGCTTGGGGTACATTTTTACAGTGGTATACTATGCAGATAATAAAACGGGGCAGCTATATATGTTGTGATAAGGAATTATCTCCAAGACAATGTTAAGTGAAAAAAAAAAAAAGAGGCATAAAGGTTGTACATAGTGGAATCACTTGAATAAAATTGGAGAAACATCTGGATACACATATAAATACGTATTTGTTTTTATATGTTAGGTCTGCGGAAGTTAGAGAGGGATCTGAGAGACTGAAAGAAAACATACTTCTCACTGTATATCTTTTAAGGTATTTTAATTTGGGTGCAATTGGATGCTTTACTTATTCAGTAGCATCCACAGAGAGAAAAAATTGGCAATTCAATATCATTTCCCAGAACCTGACAAAAATAACCAAATGCATATGAAACTAAGAGAAAACCTACTATTATCAATTTAGAGAAATGTTCCATACTTAGTTTATTAAAGTAAAAATACTTTCCTAGATACAATAAAATGGAACCAAAATAAAAGAATATTTAAATGTTTAGTTTAAAGATGACAGCATAAGCTGACATTTCCCTTTTCTCATCCTAGAAGTAACCTCGAGGATTGAGCAGGGGTGGAGGCATAGCATAGTATCAAAAATTTTAGCCAAAATGAGTTGAAGGGCAGGTAAGGGCAGTTAAAATAGAGCAAATACTGCAAGCAGAGGTAAAGAAATTGAGAAAAGATATCATGGCTGCCATTAATGTGAAAAGAATGTAAAATAAGACTGTCAAGTATTTAGATACACACATACACACACATATATATGTATACATACGTGTATACATATATATGTGTATGTGTGTGTATGTATAAAGAAAAACTAATTTCTAAATAAAAACAAAACTTTTTTTCAAAAGTAAGAGTATACTCAGGATGAAAAAATCTAACCCTCTTTGGCAACAGTGGAAATGGAACAAAGGACAGCAAGAGGATCCCCGGTCCTACTGTAATTCTTACTAGTAGAAGGAGCAAGATGGAACAAGGAGTCACAGACAAACCAATGATTAATTACTGGTTATAGGTTATACACAATTATTAATAAATAAAACTGACTACCTCTTTGGTAGAGTCAGCGGGGACAGCACAAAAAAAGGCAACGCACACACTCACACATATACACACACACAGTTTCCATCGAACACTTTAAAACTATGACCAAATAATTTTCCATGAATTAAAAAGAAGTTATATAAATGTATCAAATCAATACTTGTACAATGTATACAATGTTGTATGTCAATTATATCTCAATTAAAAAAAAACGGTTTAATAAAGAAATAATCTCCATTAAGCTCTTTGCACAAAACAGGGCACAGGGAAGAAAGAGCAATACAACTAGGAAAAATAAAACCTGAATTGGCAGAACTAAGAACTATAAAAAAAATAAAATAAAATAAAATAAAATAAAATAAAATAAAATAAAATAAAATAAAATAAAATAAAATAAAATAAAAACAACCTGTCATAAAAATTAAAGCGCAACTGGAAACAGCAAAGAAAAAAAAAAAGAGCAGATGCTGCTAAAACCATTATAAAATGGTATGGGAAACACAATGAAAGTATGGAAAATACAATGAAAATAAAAAGTTTAAATTACTGATTTCTTAGTATACCTTTAAAGATATTAGTCAAGAAATACTGAGAGAAAAGAAGCCGCAAATCTAAGTACGTAAAGTGTACAACAGGTCCTAGGGTAAATTGAACAAAGAGTCAACACAGAGATAGAGCCTAGTAAAGCTATCAGACTTTAAGTGGATAAAAAGAACAATTGGGGTAATCAGGGAAAAAGATTAACTCACTAAAAGAATGAGTATACACGTGGGTGGGGGGTGCTGAAATCAAACTGTTCTCAGACACATCCACTACAACATTCAATACTAGCAGAACAACAGAATAACACTGGGGGTAGGTCTATAACTATCAGATATTAAACCATATTACAAAGCTGTAATATTTTTAAAGTGTTGTAATAACACATGAATAAACAAAAGAAAATCCAGATATAGACTCAAATATATAGAGGAATTTAAAATTATGTCAAGAGCAGATGGAATTCTTGATGGACTGAATATGTGGAGCAAGAAAAAGAAAGATGTTAAGGATGACTCTAGATGTTTTGTTAGAAAAACAGGAAGGATCAAATTGTCACCAATTCAGTTAAGGCTTTAGGTTACGAAGATTTAGTGAGAACCTAGTGACCTTCCTACTTTCTTTAGGTTATTAAATCAGTAAACAAGTAATGAAAATGACCCTCAGCGTCCTCTAGTTTATGATTTAAAAGAAAGGTCTATAGGATCTAGATGGACATCGAGATGATACAAGATGAACTGGAGCAACTCTGAAAGCAAATACATGCTTGAACCAAATTCTCATTAAAGAGAGAGTAAATAGAAACTTTAACAAACTATGTAAGATTTTTAAGATCTTACTTAGAATAATATAAAGCTTAGCAAATTTGACCCTGCAGTAAATTAAAAGAACAACATAGTGTGACAAAGTACAATTCATTCCAGGAAGAAAAAGACAGTTTAGTATGAAAACATCTCCTAATGTAATTCATGACATCAATACACAATAGAAAAGAACCATATAACCATTTGACCAGATGCTTAAAAGCTACTTTATTTAAGAGTCGACATTCACTCTTTATTCCCTATCCTCCAAAAAATTCTAAAT